ATCTTTCAAGAGGAAACTAGGAAGGGACAGAGGGAGGACGAGAAGGAATGAAGGAGGGAGGGATGAAGGGAGGGAAAGAGAGACCACAGCCTATATATCTCCCAAGCTTCAATAACAAACAAGTAGCAGGGTGTGGTGGCATAAACCTTCAATCCCAGGCTTTAATCCTTGAACTCTATGAGTTAGAGGCTAGCCTGGTCTACACAGCGAGTTCCAGGCCAGCTTTTATTTAGAGAGACCCTGTCTCAAAAAACAAAACAAACAAATAGTATAAGTAAATAAACTCCACCCTCTTTCTCTCTACTCTAATGATCGTGGCTGGCGACATGGTTCAGTGGGTAAGAGCACTGGCTGCACCAAGCTCCGCAGAGAAGAGCTGGACACTCACCGATAACCAGCATGCAGAGGGAAAGGAGGCAGAAGGATGACTGCAACTTGTTGCCCATCAGTCTTGCTAGCTCCATTTTCACTGACCGACCCTGTCTCAAGGGGATAGCCTAAGTGTAGTAGAGCAGGGCACCCCAAATCTTTCTCTGACCTCTATGCTCTCATCCACATGCACACATTCATGTAACAGGCCCCCAGACGTTGTAGGTCCCCAGACCTTAGCACTACTGACTCCATGATGGAAGTACCATTCAAGCCTTGGGACTTAGCATGCAGAGAGCCACAAAGAAAACCAAGACCTAGGCCATGGAACTGCACAGTTCTCGGAAAGTCTCTAAGGTACTGGCCTTGCTTTTTGGCTTCTGGAGTTCCGCTTCTGGCTAACTGTTCTTGTTAACTGAAGTATGTTAACCCAGAATGTGGGTTTTGTACTTAAAATCTCACCCTGAGAAAGGTTAAACTGGGATCCTGAACACCCATGTAATCGCCAGCCAGCTAATAGACGTTCTATTGGCTTAAATCTATGTCTGAGCAGTCTTCTCTGTGGATACCCCACAGTCACACACAGAGGTATACAACACACAGCAAGAAGAAAATTATTTAGTTAGATTTAAAAGGTGCTGGAAAGATGGCTCAACAGTTACAGCGCTCACTGCTTTCATAGAGGACCTGAGATCAGCTCCCTGTACCCATGTCAGGCAGCTCACATGCACTAGCACACTTCCAAGAGACCTGACGCTGTCTTCTGACTGCCAGAGACACACACAAAATAATAAGTAACGATAATAAATCTTTAAATAAGAGTATAAAGAATATTATATATATATATTTCTGGTAGGTAGGTAATCTAAGATATTTACTTAGAAGACAGACTCCTGGATCATACAGTATTTTTTTATATTTTAAGATCCATATAATTTTATATTTATGTATATGTGTGTGCACCCTGTGTGTACACGTGATTGCAGAGGTAAGAAGAGGACATCGAATCTCCAAGAGTTCATCCAGGTCCTCTGCAAGAATGCTCTAAACCTCTGAGCCATTGCTTCAGTCTTTTTTAAAACTTATTGAAGAACTACACATGTTTTTTGCAGTTCTTTTTTGCACTAAGCCTGAGTACTTGAGCTCAATCCCTGAAACCTGCATGATGGCTTAGTGGCCAGCACTTTTATCTACTGAGCCATCTTGCCGGCCCCACTCGTGCTCGTTTTTATTTATATATTTATGTGTGTGTGTGTGTGTGTGTGTGTGTGTGTGTGTGTTTGCCTGTCTTCGTTAGGGTTTCTATTGCTGCAACAAAACACAATGACCATAGAGCAAATTGGGGAGGAAAGGTTTTATTTATGTGGCTTACACTTCATCACTGTTCATCATCAAAGGAATCAGGACAGGAACTCCAATAGGACTGGAACTTGGAGAATAGGCAGAAGCGGACGCAGAAGCCATGGAGAAGTGCTGTTTACTGGCTTGCTTCCCCTGGCTTGCTCAGCCCACCTTCTTATAGAAGAACCCAGCACCACAGCCCAGTGATGGTACCATTCAAAATGGGCTGGGCCCTTCCCCACTGATCAGTAAATGAGGAAATGCCTTACAGCTGGGTCTCATGGAAGCATTTCCTCAGAGAGGCTCCTTCCTCTCTGAAGACTCTAGCTTGTGTCAAGCTGACAAAAGAAAAGAAAAAAGAGAAAGAGAAAGAGAAAGAGAAAGAGAAAGAGAAAGAGAAAGAGAAAGAGAAAGAGAAAGAGAAAGGAAAGAAAGGAAAAGAAAAGAGAGCCAGTCCAATGTCCATGGCACACACGTGGCCAGAAGAAAACTTAGAGGAGTTAATTCTCTCCTACACTGCTGGTCTTGAAGATCAACATCAGCTCATCAGGCCTCACGGCAAGCACTTACCTGTTTAGTCATCTCACTGGCCTTCTTTTTGGCTTTTTGATACCAGTCATGCTTTAAAACTTTAAGACAATTCTGAAGCCATTTATGATCATTCTGAGCCCTCTCAGTCTCAGCAGTAATGCTCCTCCCCTTCCCCATGAGAACCAAGGACCTAACAATTGCCCACACACATACTGAAATGTTGGGAACGTTCCATCATCTCCCTGAGTCCTTGTGAATGTTCTCCAAATAGAACTCAGTTATTGAATAGGGGCAAGATAACCCTTAAGTATTGACTCAGTCCCTGGGAAAGGGGCAAAGTGACCCTCAGATGTTTTCCCTTACCTCATCTGATCTGGCAACCACTCTCCAGCCAATTATTGGTAATAGCCCTTTTGAATAAGCCAATCATAATAGTTAAAGAACAGCCCCCCAGTGTCAGGGGCCATTGTCCTAAGAATGTTTGCAGAGAGCCCCCACATCCCAACTACCTTGAGAGCTGTTTGTTAATGGAGCCACAAAAAGAATGTTTCTGCTTACCAGGTGTGCTGACTAGTGACCTTTGCTACCCCGGCAAAATTCCTTCTTACCCCTTCCCCCCACCCCAAACCAAATTCCTCATTCAAGGGCTATATAAGCCGCAACCATTATGCTAATAAAGAGAGGCCTTGACAAGTGAATTTTGCTTGGTCTCGTTTCTCTCTCCCGCCCATGTTCTTTCAGGTAGTGCCTCTTCAGACCCTGAAGTAACTGGACCTGCTGGACGGGTACACCCCAGACACCCCTTCCTTCTGTGGTTTTTCCCTTTTAAAATAGCCTGTACCAGCCATTTGGGGTCTTTCTAGCCTCCCTAATGCTGGAAGACCCTGTCAGGGCAGACTTAATAAAAGCCTCATGCTTTTACATCAGCTGTGGTGGTGAGAGACAGTCTCTGGGGGGCAACTCCTCCTCAGTGGTTGGATTCTAGGGTTCAACAATGCTTTACGTCCATACAGTAAGAACATGTTTTCTCCTTTTCATAATGCCTTGAGTGTGGGAACACTGGACAGAGAAATTAAACAGAGGTTAAATGTGAGCCAATTTCAATGTTTAAATTCCAGTTCTTAAAGTTTAAGCCCCTTGACAGGATGGAAGCTGGGCTCTGTGCATGGAAAGCTGGGTTGAAGTTTGACACTGTTCTTAACAAAATCTCAATCATTTGATTTTACCGATAGACTTGGGGTCAAAGCCTCCTAGCTCAGAGGCAGAGAAGCACCCAGCTGCCCCTCCTCCTCCCACACCATCTCAAACTCCTTAAACTGAATGTCCCTCCCTTCTACTTCCTGGGCATCTCTCTATCCATCCTGACTCCCTCTAACTGGTTTTTTTTTTTAAACAATCCTATCTTCACTTCCTGTTGCTTGTTCCACCTCTTGACCTATCACTGATTTTATTTAATCCTGTTTACAATATTCAAGCAGAAAATTCTGGATTAAAGGTGTGTGCTAGGGCTGAGCCACACAATTAGAAACAAGTTTTTCCAATGAATAATCTCGGGTTCCACAGTGTGATCAAATATCCTGCAACAAGGAACAAGGACATGTATGGCTGACCAACAGAGGAAACTCAGCACAAAGGGTGTAACATTCGACCAAACCTCGAGATTATACAGGGCGCTTTAAAGGCTGCCAGACGGCAATTCTGCTACAGCGCAAACTCCTAATCTCTGGGAAAACCTTGGGCTTGTCTTCAGGGTCAGCAGCAGAGACAAGTGACTCCCCTAGTGTGCCACTCTCTCGAGGGGTCACATTCCATACCAGCATGTCACTCGGGTACAGTAGGTACTTAGAATCATTTCAAAACCATGTATCATGGGTCCTTAGACCATTTTTTTTAATATGAGAGTCAGAGAACAACTTTTTTTAAAAGATTTATTATGTACAGTTTTCTGCCTGCGTGTATGCCTTCATGACAGAAGAGGGCACTAGATCTCATTACAGATGGTTGTGAGATCCACCATGTGGTTGCTGGGAATTAAACTCAGGACCTCTGCAAGAACAGCCAGTGCTCTTAACCACTGAGCCTTCTCTCCAGCCCCATCCTTAGACCATTTTTCAAGGCAGATTATTTTATTGTTTGAGTGATAAGAATTCCTTATACTTTTTGGATGTGATCCCCCTTATTCGTAATTCGCAATTTTCCCCATGCTGTCTTCTTCGCTGAGTGTTTCTAACACTACACGGAAACTTTCCATATTTGCTTCTTGGACTCGCTCTGTAGCCAAGATGATGAACTTCCGGTCCTCCTGCTCTGGTTTCCATGAGTGCTGGGATCACAGGCACGCACCAGCATGCCCAGTGTCACGTGGTGCTGAGGCCTGAACCCAGGCCCTGTGCACACTCAGAAGCACCTATCAACTGAGCTACTTCTGTGTCTGTGCTTCTGATGCCATATCCAAAGTATTTGGTGCTGTGACCATCAGGCCCTTTTCTGTATTCCTCTACTTGAGTGGTCCTGGATAGTGAGTATTAAAGGGGAGGGGTTGAATGATAAATGTCTGCCATAGTCTTGTTTCTTAAAAGAGTGACAAGTGCATGTGCCCTCTTATTACTGGCCCTTTTGTCCTGGGCCAGTTAAATTACAAAGACAAACAGGGCTGAAAATGTATCTAAGCAGCAAATCGCTTGCCTAGCATGCACAAAGCACTGGGTTTAATTCCTACCACTGGTAGAGAGAGATAGGACATAAACCAAAAGATGAAAAAAACACCTTTTTTTCATATCTTTAATTACCATTATTGTACCAATACAGCATACGCTTTATATACATACATCTTCGACTTCATTTTCAATTTTCAGCAATTCAAATACATAATATATTATCATCTTAAGAATACAAATAACACAAAATGGAGGAAGATTGAGAAAATAGGTTTCCCAATAGTCACTATATTTTCTATATTTTCCTCTTAGTGTTCTTATTGGAACCTTAATTGTCCTGCCATGGCTCTGCAAAAAGAGAGCTGCCTGGAAAGGGGATGGCAATGCGAACAAATGGACCCCAAGTCTGAAAAAGCTAAGAAAAATATCCAGAGGAAATAATGTGTTTGAAATTAAATGTAAGAACCCTCTTCAGCCAGAATGTACATATCCAAACAGGTGCTCCCAGAAGGTAAATCCTCCCATTCCACCCTCATCCTCAAACTGCCCAGCACACAAACGGACAGTACCCACTGACCTGAACAGGACCCTCTTCACAGTATTGTAAAAGGAATGGCGGGCAGAGGACGGGGAACTGATAGGACAGAAACTTGCTTTAAGATATCCTAGCTGGGGATCAAAGTCTGGGGCAAAGGCTGTCACAGATAGAGCTGTGACGCAGCCTCTTCACACTGACAATTATCTAATAGCAGCTTTCATGGACCAGCTAAGTGGACTGAAGGAAATGCTAACGACAAGGCTCCAGACCAGGCAGCAAGGCATGTGGTACGGCATGAGAGCTAAGTGCTTCCACCTCTCTGCTCTACACATCACGTTAAAACGCTTACCTTAGGTCAAACACGGGGTGAATAAAGTTAATGCCATGTTTCAAATGCAGCAGAAACGCCTCTGCAGACTACAACTCGGAAAGCACAGCCTCCATCTCCTTCATCTCAGAAACAGCCACCGTCAAGGGCGCTGCACTATTCAACACACAGAACACCGTGGGGTGCCACCAACCCGAGCCTTTCATCGGAGGAAAAGACATAAACACACAAGGCGGTGGTGGTGCTGCGGCTCACCGGATGCTCACTGATAGGGTAAGCCTGAAGGAGGCGTTACAGAAGAGAGCCAGATACGGCTTTCTGCAAACCTACCCTCATGAAAATCTTAACATGGTAAGTATGGAGGCCAGTCTGCCCATTTATAGTCTCGGGTTACGAGAAAGACCGTTACAAGGCATTGTCTCTCCTGAAATTGCTAACTAGGACATCACAAACAGATACACAGGAATCATGAGATGATTCTGAAATAAGTTCAAGAATTTACATATGTCAGAGGTCACTCTTATTCTCACAGGTGGCTTTCTGAACTCTGCACAGTCGGTCAGTGTGATAATTTCCACTACTCCCCTGCCTAGGTGGTGAGCAGGAAACAGCAGGTGGTCTCCTGGCTTACACAGCAAGTAACACCGAGGTAACAGAACAATCAATCCAGCCTGAAAGCAACAGAGAAGCTATGGAAAAGACTGTCCACTGATTTTGGTTCTGGGAAATGAAGCGGTCCCTCAACTCCCTCATAGAATGGTGCCCTCCAGGTCATTTATTCTTCAAGTGTATCCTTAACATCTTGCCAATGATACTCAGAACTGGACCCAGTTGGACGGCTGTGGCGCCTGGTTCGGAACAGAGCTGCAGGACAGGGGAAGAGACAGAAGCCAAGAGAGCACATCAGTATGAGAGTCCAGTCACTTCCGAGTCGCCAAGACACTGCGTGAGAAAGTCTGAAGGAGCTCTTCACGTGAACTCCACTTCCCAAGTTCCTCCCGGGAACCTGTACTGAAACCCACATGATGGCATTTGCTTCCCTCACTACACATTCCTCTACAACATGATTCTCAACCTGTGCGTCACAACCCCTATGGGGGCTGAACAACACTTTCACAGGGGTCACAGAGCAGATGTTTACATATGCTTCCTAACAGTAGCAAAATTACAGTCATGAAGTAGCAATGAAAATAATTTTATGGTTGGGGGTCACCTGAGGAACTGTATTAAAGGAACACAGCATAAGGAAGGTTGAGAACCACTAGCCTACACCCTAAGGGAGAGGCTGTTGGGTGCACTGTGCCGGTTACCTGGATGCAGTGCTGAAGTCTCCCCACAAGTCACTGCTTGTAGAAACTGGCGCTGGTGCTGAAGTCGTGACAGGAGCAGGGGAATCCAAATCTAAAAGGATATCTGCACAGAAGGGGTGCTTTAATCACGTGTTCACAGGGAAACCTACACCCAAAGGATATCTGCACAGAAGGGGTGCTTTAATCACGTGTTCACAGGGAAACCTACACCCAAAGGATATCTGCACAGAAGGGGTGCTTTAATCACGTGTTCACAGGGAAACCTACACCCAAAGGATA